AATCAAAGAACACGTGCGTATTGGGGCGGAGAAATAGTGCAGATTTGACAGAGACGCAAGGCCCCAGTAACACATCAACTTATCTTCCCTAATGCTTTTATTTAAAAAAATTGTCGTCAAATAAGATAAATCCAGTGATTTTCTGTAAATCGTTAGTTTAATAAGGGTCAGTATAGACAGATGTAGTCCAGTCAAAGTGCAAGTTGTCCATAAATGCCTGATTGTAACAGCAGTAAAGGCTAGTGGTTACTCTGTGTACCACCTACATTAATATGTACATATTCAGAGGCGGGACATAGGCTCCTATTCTAGAGATACTCATTTCGAAACACAGCAGGCCTATGCTGACTGAGGGTTTTCGTAGATTACCTCAGTCCCTCCAGGTATTTTAGCGTCCTGTGCTTTATTTTTTATTTGATATATGTATACAGACAGTCTGTTAGTGCAGCTGTCCATGCTGTTCGTGGCCACACCAATAGAATATACGTATTAGTGTACGAATTATAATCTTAAATTTCTTCACACTGAACGCACGTATACAATTTAACGAAACATGTTCCAAAAATAAAATAATGCCAAAATACGTACACATAGAAATATTTTCAAGCAACCTGGCAATGCGACAAGTACTTAATGAGTTCCGGATTAGATGAATCGATTTATTTGATATTCACTAGGCGGAACTACAATTAGTTGTAACACAGTCTTACTGTAACTATAACACTTCACAACTACGAACAATGACATCATACAAACTAACAGCTTCACTTCTGATTTCTTCGTCTTGTGTGTTCTGTTTGTCTTCTGTCTTCTGTTGTATTCTGTCCTCTTCTGTGTTCTGTCATATTTTGTTGGTGACTTCTCTTCCTGAGGTAAGTTCTGGTTGAACCGTAAGGAGATCACTTCCTTCAACCGTAGGTTTCTCGCTTCCCTAGCCGTTACTGTGCTTTGGCCGGTTCTTTTTCATGTGAACAGCCTTTATCTGTCCGTTGTAACAGAAACGTTTCCTTGTGAGTTGCCTAGAAAATATGTTTTCCGAGCTGTTGCCTAACTATACATGTTACATTACCAACAAACACAACCGCTACAAGAAGAACAGAAAATGCTGAAAAATTACGCTTAGAAAGAGAAATAAAATTTCTATACAAAAAGGAAAACAGCGAAATAAAGAACTCTTTTCATGCCCACATACTGAATACAAAAATAGAATATCATCGAATAATCAGTTACAAAAAAATGAAGGAAATATACATAGAACAAACAAAAGAATCTCTAAGAAACGTGAGCAGAACCCAAACAAAAACATGCACTGATCAGTGTGCCAACAGTGTAACAGTTTACGTACAACATACACACCTGACGATGGTCCTTGCGAGACCGAAACATATCATGTAATACTGGAGAAAAAATTTGGAATAAGCGTATTTAAACCAGGAATCTCAGGGGAAACTGAACTGAAGACTGTGTTTGTGTACATATATCTTGTTCTTTCCTCGGGCCTGAGGCCCACACTCCACATCCATATACGCGTACATGTAGAAGAGCAGGAAATATTACGATTTTTTGTGTCTTATGTTTATGGTCCCAGGAGACGAGAAGATATAGATTTCGAACACAATTTATGCCCATATTGTACCCAGAACCCGCATTATAATATTTATCCTTTATGTCTTTCAGTTAGGAGTCTGATAGCATAGTCGGTATAGTGACTGGGTACTGGCTGGAAGACCGAGAGGTCAGAGTTCGAGTCCAGCTTGGGTCAAGAATTTTCTCTTCTTAACGCCTTTCAGACCGGCAATGGAGCAACCCAATCTCTTATCTAATGAGTACCGGGGGATCTTTCTGCAGGGGTAAAGCGGCAGGAGCGTAAAGCTGACCACTCAGCTTCAACAAGTACCGAAGTCAAGAAAATGTGGATCTATACATGCGCCTTCACGACGTAGTGCTTAATTAGTTAAGCAGAGGGACAACTTTACCTTTGACCTTTTATGTCTCAGTTATATGTGTAGATTTCAAAATGCGTCGTTCATAAATATATATACTAAGAAAATGTCGAGTTCTATCTCCTGTCTAGGATTAGGCATTCTAGTTATATCTGTCTTGGAATTATTCTGTGACAATGAATCATTCAGGGGCGATGGAGGCAGAGAGGTAGAGGCAGGGGATGCGCTGGAATGGGGACATCTGCAGGAAAGCAGGAATCCAACAACTTCCATCCGAGGAACAGGAATTCTATCCAGCCACAGAGATATGCTGATAGGTAAACTTCCGAATAGTTGCGTAATATTTGAATTAGAATACACAACAAACATTAATCTGGCTTAGGAAGTTTGAAAACAATGCGGTCGGTGTAATTAATTATACTGGGACAGGACCTAAATTAATGCAAATTGTTGACCCCCAAACTTCCGTAGAAATTTTGTCGAATCATCCGATTTCCTGGCTATTTTCAAGTAGGGGTGAGTTTGCTGTGAGCTTTAACTACATGAAGAGTACGTGTGAATACAAGTGAACTTTGTTTGGCAGGCGTTATCGGCTCCCGGCGTTTCCGCACAGACTTCCTGCAGGAACTGCCCACTCCTGGAACGGGACCGCATTTCGACACCTCCATACCCAACAACCTCACCGGCCTGGTGGGCAAGACGGCCTACCTCAACTGTCGCGTGAAGAACCTGGGCAACAGAACGGTGAGTACCCAGATCCCGTCTGTCAACATTTCTTGTCTTGACATTGCAGTAAGTATGAACACCTCAGACCCGGAGGAACTGTCAGGTACACTTGTACCCGTAGCTTTGCAGTAGTAATGGTGCTGTAAGAGCATTCACGACCATAATTAATTAGGTCTTTCTTGTCTCCATTATTAAGGCCAGTTACTTCAGTTTCTTCTTTCAGCAAGAATTGTCCACCATTTTGGAAAGTCGCGGGATCGAATCCCGATGAGATGGATTTTTTCAATTGAACTAATCCTTCCAGCTGCATTATGGCTCTGGGATAGACTCAGTCTACAACAGAAATGAGTACCAGGAATATTTGAGCTGCCCCTCAGCTCTTTACCTTTCCTCCTATAAAGGGGAGGACGTCACTTCCGTCTCCAAGTTCTTACTGTTGCGTTCTTAATACCTCCCGAGATAGAGCGGGATGTCTAAAACCTACAAATAACAAAAGTTTAATATGACAAACACAATAAAATACAATATAATATAATTGAAATACATATTCAATATTGCGACCTTGAAACAGTTACGTCGCGTAATATTAGTCGAACACTCCCACTAAGGGGGTCGGAGCTATACACACAATGCCAGGCAAAAATGTAATAATAGCGCCCTGAAAACGCCAATTCGGCTGTTACTGCTCCCAAACATTCACGGGAAACACTCCAAACCGAATTTAGACTGGCCACGACCAAACTGAATTTGTTACCTGCCTTCCCCCTTAACTGGCGACGTTAGGGACAATAGTGGCACCCTAAGCCTAAGGAGGACAATAGTTGAATTACAAGTAGACGGTCCCGGGATTGTATCTCGCCGGAGGAGCGTCTCTCATGGTAAGAAACAATGCCTCAATTGGTCATGCCCTTAATTAAATAATTTTGGCCAGGGACGTACGGTTACAGCACTAACAACAGGCCGAATCCCCAGTGATGCAGAAACGTTACTTGTGACGTAGGTCGGTATGTTACTGGCAACAATTCCAGTGCCACCCCTCTGTCCCACGACAGAATGCAGTGAAGCTCAGGATTGCTCTGTATATACTACGTATACCTGCCGATTTAAGTGCGGTAACAGACATTGTTCCGGTCACGGTAGCCGAGCGGTCTAAGGCATGCACTGTCTTCGCTCGCTCGGAAGCCGGGATCTTGGGTTCGAATACCACTCAGGGCATGGATGTTTGTGTGCGTTTTTCTGTGTTTGTCTACAGGTAGAGGCCTTGCGACGAGCTGATCACCCGCCCAAGGAGTCCTACCGAATGTGTAAGATCTAGAAAAACCGAAGTGAACGGAGAAGTTCATGGAGGTAGGCCTAGGCCCACTGGGGCTGTAGTGTCAAGGGAAACAAAATGAGCTGCCGGAACATAAAGATGATCTTACCGTCATCTGTGAGCCGATTGTCTAGAAAATGTGAGAGCCTCGACGTCTCACAACCCTATGGGCCCCCACGGCCTGTTACAGGGATAGCTTTACTTTTAGCGTTTACCTTCTTACTGTATATACGTATATTCATATATAAAACTGAAGGTTATAATATAAAACAAGATTAAAATTGATTTTTATAACATATATAAATATATATAAATGACCGTTGTAGTTTTACACAAAAGAATTAACTATTTTTGTCATGGTATTTAATTTTACCACAGCTCAATAGTATATGTTTGTTTATTTGTATTCACCTGATTATGGCCGTTAACGGCCGAAACATGTAGTGAGGCATAGCAGGGTATTGACATTGGTACTCCTTAGTTGTTGTATTGTGACGGAAAAATAAAGTTATATATGGCAACACAACAGGATGCATGAAATGAAGATTACATCATGAATATTTAGCGACGGTTCCCAAGCAGATATCTGCCCTCTCATCTTCACATAGTTAGAGGGGAAGTTCCAGTGATAAATTAATATTAAGTCGTATAAGTTGAAGAGCTGTTTGTGTGTCGAATGTTGCTCACATTAAGCAGCGAAACAGGAATCCGTATATGAGAACAAAACTTGGCAGTGCCTCTAAGCTTATTTGCATTATTCATGAAAGCAGCTGATGTTGCCACCTGCGAATCGCTGTGTTCGCGCCTTGAAGTCTGTGGTGTAGAGAGGTGTTGTTGTTCTAGTAACATTTAAAGCGCATTTTAAAAATCTCTTCCGCTACTAGCTCACTTCCTGGTTCTAGTTGCTCAGCTCAGCCCAAGGAATATGCAAACAATGGGAAAAATATAAGACAGACGGGATAGCTGAGTCGATACAGCGACGGGCTACAGGCTGGACGACCCGTCTTCGATTCCCCACCGTGTAAAATTTGTCTCTTCTCCACAGCGTTCAGACCAATTCTGAGGTCCACTCAGCCTCCTATCCAATGAGTTCTCGGGTAAAGTGGAAAAGGCGTGAAGCTCACCACTCACCTCGAGCCAGTGCCTTCATATCTTGGTGCTTAATTAATTAACACAGGGACAACTTTGTATTTCCAAACTTACCATTCACTATTTAACATATAATTAAAAACTCATTCTTATAAATTAATATATAAAAATATGTAATTAATGGACTACTCGGTTTATAATAATGTTTGTTTCTGTGTCTGCCGACTTAACGGTTTCACTACATGATTTGGAAGGATGAGTGACGTTTCCATTTCGCTGCTCCTAACCGTAAACTTATCGTAACCTAATTTAAACTATAAAGTTTACAGGTCAAGCTGAACTGCGTATCGGCGTGGGCCACAAGTCGTCTTACACCATCGCCATCCTCACGTCAGTATCATCAAAACCACCATCACGAACATTTCACATGTCCGTGTTGGTGTTTTCCGCATTGCCTTAAAGTAAATTTAACGGTTCATTTGTTTTCAGCTTCAGACATAAGTTTCATCCTAAAGGGTTCTGACGTTGGTGGATGACACAAGGAATTACTGGGTTTTTGGAATTTTGTGATCATCCGGAATTCTAGGTAATAGAGAACACGACGTTTCGGAAACAGTTCCACTTTCCGAAACTCTATTACCTAGAATCCCGGACGATAAAAGAGTTAAAAAAATCCAATAATTCTTCAAATATTATCGGTTAGGCCACTGATTTTCATGAGCGTTCACTTGCCGAGATAAAAAGTGTTGTCGTGAAAAATAATTTTGACGTAGCGAGAAAGTAACTACAAGGTGGAATTATTAGAGTGTTATTGGTTTTATGGAAATTATTATGTCTACATTTAAACTCCACTCACCATTATACCACGTATATTTCTTTAGTGTAAAGGTAGAATTTGTACATGTGCTTGAGCAACACGCCATAAAAACTTATAGGCTAAAAAGCTGAAACTATACCGTGAATTTTTATAGCTTCCCTCCCATAAAATTCTGAATGTAATGTTAGAAAACATCATCTCTTTTCGCTTGTTCCGATGGTGATAAAATTGCGGTATAAATTTGAATCGCAGTAGAAAGTATGGTTATATTCTCTCTCTGTTACGTACACACTTTCACTTTCATCACATTGTTACTGTCTCTCTCATATTCCAACCGGATGTTACTGGCTGGAACTTATCCAAAATTTTACGACCTTTATCCGAAAGCAACCTGCTCTTTATCTGCGTCACTCTTTCTTCTCCGTTTTCCTTCTTCTTTTCTCTGTGTATTTATTTTCCCCTCTCATTCTTTCCTTCCTCTGTTGGCTAGGTTTGAAATAGCGTCCTGAAAGGGGGTACGGGTAACACTTAACATAAAAAAATACGTGTAATTGGGTTGACAGTTCTGTATTTTTTTTTCTGATTTGGAGAAGTAATTTTTGGAATCTGCTGCTTAACTTAACCAAAGCTTTCATTTTTACTTCCTATATACATTGTGCTTAGTTTTAAAGTAATTGCTTGTTTGTTTTTTTAATTCTGGAAGTTGGTCTTGTGTAGGTTTACAAATTTGTTGTATATTATAACTATCAACAGGGATGAGTGTCCACCTATTGAGAAAGTGTGAAATACAAGCTGTATGCGGAAACATTCATTGGCCGGCCTCTGCGACATTGCAATAGCTTCCAGGCTATTAGGCCCTCTGACCAGGACCTGTGAACTGTACATCAGCCACCGGTACCTTTGGTCTTTGTCTGTGTTCCTATCAGTGCCATTTTCCCTTCTCCATTACTTCGTCATTGTGGCCACTGGTCACGCGCTCTGCAGGAGAGCTTTCGCGATTCCGTACAGTCTGTTGGAACTAGAACTAGCACAAGAATACTGATATCCCCAGAGCAGTGGTTTACAAACTTTAACAGCTGCGTATGAAATCAATATATTCCAACGTCTATCTGACGTAATATTCCCCCCCCCACCTCAAAATTTCTTTTTGTGTATTCTTTCCACTGATTTCTCCTTCAACATCACAAAGCAGTTGAAGCTTTTTGATGTCATAAATAATTTATGTTCTTCACGAGCGCTCTCTTCCGGGTTGTAACGGTGTATAGTTGGGAGGTAGTCCAAAGTTTCGAAGGAGCTTATCGCTTCCATCTTCCAGGTAGAAGAGTAACCCAAGGAATTAACCAGAAGCAGGCAGCAAGCTGATCACATTAATGCAGTGGATGCATATTCCTAAATGAAATGAAGCTCTGCTTCTCAGTTACGTGGGTGAATCAGATTTCAAAAACAGCTTAAAAAATAACTGAAAAGAAAAAACTGGGATCACTACACCAACTTTATTAATTGCTTAAAAATAGTGAAAATAGTCGATTCATTATGCAGATAGTGTATTACACCCTGTGCGTAGGCTGAATTTTAATTTATACAGGCTTGTTCTACACGTATGTTATAGGAGTCTTTCACTTATTCTTTTTTATTTCCATAAAATTAGCAATCAGAAATACATCTGATTATATAAGTTAAATTGCTGTAGTATTCTTTGTGACGTGGAGAGGGCTTATCCAGAGATAAGTCCTTGTTAACCCTCTTTCAGTTCGGCTGGCCAATTCCTTTTCAGTCTTCGTTCATTGTGCGGTTCCAGTA